TATTCAAAAAAGCCTATTGAATTACCCTACTCTTTATGCAGGGAATACAGCGGTAGAAGACAAGGAGTTTAGCATGTCGTTCACACAGCCTAAGACAGAAGAAGAGAGAGTATCTTCTGCCCTATATATTCCTATATATAACAGGAAACTGAGTGATCAGAGACTGCAGGCTGAAGTCAATAGTACCATTTATATGGTGATGGAAAGAGCACAACAGGCTGGGTCTTGTCAATTGTGCAAGAATACAAGATAGCTATAGACATGGATACAGCATACATCTGCAAACACTTACGTACAAACACCCAGCTTATGTATGCTCAGAGTTTTTCCTGTTAGGAGACATTTCAGAGATTCCCAGGTTTTTTGCCTTGAAACTTTGAAAGTATATTACAAGTGTCACTACAAACGGCTGCTATGGGCCTTGCCTATGCACAGAACAGGCCTTAGGGGAATATGGCTACTGACAAAGCATCAGCATATCAGAGTGTTGGCTACCCTCCCCTTCTTTACTTAACATGGTCTTGTTTTGGGTAGGCAGTCACAAAGCATAACTTCAGACACCCATCAGATGTATAAAGTGCATCCGAAGAGGCATTCTTCAAAATAAAGTATTTTTAAATAATGTTTTAATGTAAAAAAGAAAAGATCAGGTGGGGAACAGGTGGCAGATAAGTACCAGGATAAATGTCCACAAACTCAGGGTCACTCCTTACAGATGCTACATTAACTCACACTTGTTATCTAGGGACTGGGCTGTGAATTCAGATTTTACCTGAAATACAGTATATAGGAATAACTGTGTTGTACATTACTCCAAGATGATGAATGTGGAACAGTTTGAAAATTTTAAAGTGCTAAATCACTGATAATATGTAATATTTTTATGTCTGTCTCCATAATTTTCCTCTGCATTCAGATCTTGACTACATTGTAAGAACCCATTAAATGTTGCAGGACTGCAGTCACTGTACTGCAGTATATTTATTAGCTCCTGTATGGCTTTTTTTTAATGAGCTGCAGAATAACAAAAAGTTTGACGAAAAAGCATTTGTCTTCTTTCACATTTCCTGAATATTTGCAGATCTTTACCCCTGAATGTAACCAGAGCTTTCTGTAGGCCCAACTGATAGAAAACCTGACTAAACAAAGAGCACCAAAGCTTGCTGATTGTTTCACTTATTACACGAATAAATCAATTTGCAGTATACTGGTGTAAAAAAGTAATAATTCTCCAAATTCAAGGAATTTATAAATCTGTATAATTTCCACAAAATGAGATTTTTTTTTTAAATGCCCCTCAATCCGGAAAAAGTTACAAAAACAATTCTACCGTTGTGAGGCTCCACCAATTCAAAGATGGAGAAGATAGCAAAGAACTTTCTCAAAAGTTGCTGTTCTGTCAAAATCACTCCAACTGCATGGGATTAAAATAATCTAGAAAATAAAAGAAGCCCCAGGGTAATAGTGTTCTGCATCACTTTTGCTTTAGCTTAAGTCTATGTTCAAGACTCAACCACCAAAAAATGCTGGGTAAAAATGGGTTTCAAGGAAAGTTAAAAAGGCACAAGATGTAGGATATGACCAGACTGAACCCAAGGGAGAGGGGTCAAATGCGTCATAAGTCAGGAGTCCCTTTGTGCCCACAAGAGATCTTAAGTCCAGCCCACCTTGAATTCCTTAGATTAATGTCAAGCGCCCAGGAAATCAGGAGATTCAGGCAGTTCAAATGAGTATAAATATTTATTGCAATCTTAAGTTGTCTACAAGAATCTGGCCAAGAGACCATTAAGGGAAATGCATGAGAGTTAAGAATAGAAAGGAATTCAAGGTGGGCTGGACTTAGAACTCTTGCGGGCGTGAAGGGACTCCTAATTTATGACCTGTATGACCCCTCCCTCAGGCTCAACGTAGTCATCTCCTACAGAAACTATTCATTAAAATATTATTGTTCATCTCAAGTTTGCCCCAAAGCTCCTGGATCAACATATATAAACTGATGAAGCAGGAGTGGAACTTTGTGGGCTAGATAGGCATCATCGTGTTTCATGGAAAGCAGTCAAAATGTCATGCCAGCTTTCAAGTAGTTCCATAGTTTGGACACACACTGCTGATTTCGGGCCTGGATGATGTACAACATGAAAGAACCATGAAATCTACTTTCTATCGGGAAATTCTATAGGAAAGTATCAAGTCACTGCGCCACCACAACCATTGTGGTGTCACGGTGGTTAGAATGTAGTAGTGCAGGCTAATTCTGCTGGATGTTGGAATGGTCAGATACAAATCCCTGTGAGAGAACCTGAAACAATCAGTTTCTGCTGGAAAACCCTCAAGTGTTACTAAGTTGGACATGGATCAGTGAAGCAAAACTCTTACACAAGATGTGAGAGACTAATAACAGATAGGATTCCCTGTTTATATAATCAGAGTAATGTAAAAAAAAAAAAAAGGCATAGCATATTAGTTGAATCAAAGTAGGGAATTACTGTACTTTTTCAAACTGGCACATTCGCAAAGTCATATGTAGGATGACTTTGTTTCTGAAATAAATGGAAAAAGTACCAAACTTTGGCCACTTAGATTCCTTTTATAAAATAGTAGGACCTATATGAAAATTAAAAATGAGGAAAATACTTTTTCAGGGAAACTATACATGCCAGTGGTTTGCAGAGCAAGGTTGAATAAACCCTTTCCAAATGTTGTATATGATGCTTATTTTTATCGATGAAGAAAAGCTTTAATCTATTCTAGAAGCTTGAATTTCCTGCCTTTTATAATTTCTGAAAGCTTAAAATTCCAAAGATGTAAGCAATAAAGGAAATATTTTTGTTAAAAAGAAGTATGAGGTTAATGCATTCGTGTCTCTTTCATTTTTTTCCCCTATTTAATAAATACCCTGCTTCTGATTTTTTTTTTCTTGCTGTTTCCAAAGTAATGTGAAATATTGTGAAGAAACTGCCGACAATTTCTTAATGAAATTTGATGCTTCTATAAATTATGTTTAATTAAAATTGTGAAAGTATAGCTTTCACAAACCCGATAAACATATTGCTTGAGTCCCATCTTTTTTGACTAAACTGAGGATTCAAGCTTCATAATCTCATACAGTGTAAAACTTTTCGTATTGGGCTTAAGTTATGTTTTAAATCCTTGGACTAAGTGAGAAGGGATACGTGAATCTCGTCAACAGCCTCCAGTTTAAATAATCCAAATTCATATCAGCGCTATTGCAATAAAATATATTTACAAATTAATCCCGTTGCTCTATTAATTATTTGTGTAATTACTGCAATTCTTCCCACCTTGTTTTCAGTTTTTCTTAATCATTAAGCCGGAAGCCTGACAGCAGTGCCAGCCCTGGCATGATTCTTTTTGACTAAAACCTTGTAAATTAACACAATTAGCACAGCATCATGCTGCTAATTAACTTCCTGTGTCTGGTACAGCGGATGTGCAAACAAGGAATAGGGATTCAGCAGGGAATAAACATGCCACTCTGTTGCCAAACTGTATGTTGTGTTCGATCTAGCTCAGCAGGGCTAAGACAGTCATGCCAAGATGCTGGAGTCAGGCAAAGAAGAGCTAAAGGAAGAAGAAGAAGAAGAAGTGCAAAATAGGAAGAGTATTAGGCTGTTAAACGAAAGATAGTAGTAATTTATCAGAGAAACTCTGCCATCCATGTTTGATGTATAACAAGCCTTTTTATCTGAGCATCTGCTCCAAATATTATCAGATAGAGGAAGGAAAGGAAGAAGAGAAAGAAAGAAAGAAAGACAGACAGACAGAAAGAAAGGAAAGAAAGAGAAAGGAAGGAAGGAAAGAAAAGGAAGGAAAGAAGGAAGGTTGTTTTAGTGCTGCCTATTAGGCTGAACAAGTCTATAGATGGTAAAGATAAGATAAACTTTATTGCCACCTTTTTCTGTGAAATGACTCACATTAAAAAATGAAATTCCGATGCCTGCTTTCAAAAGAATATATATGCCCATACAGGATATAAAGGATTTTAAAATATTTTTTTTCTGATGAACTCTGCCTGCCTTGTCTGATACAGGACCAAACTTTGTCCCATTGCCGCCACTCTCCCACCCCCAAACTTTTAGTAACTGACTTACATTTATTTCCCTTTTCTCCTGCCCCTCCCCCCATTCCCTATCGGTTTGGAGGGAATTGGAAGAGAATGGGAGGAGAAAGAAGATAGAGAAGTGTTGCTGGGCTTTGCTCTTTCCACCCCACCCGCCCACCTTTGCCTGTTTCCTTCCAGAGCCTCAACGACAGGACTCTGACGCACAGAGCAGCCCGTTGTAATTCATACCGAGTTGTAGGCTTTGTGTGATGAAAGCAATGGAGCGCTGCCTGGGAGATTGCTTTGCTGCACTCCACGAAGCAGATTTGAAACTGTCGTGGACCACTTTAGATGAGAGTTGGATTATGGAGTGACCTGCTATGTCTGTGTCATATTGTTCTGCACAGGGTGCATTATACTGTGCTAACTAGGTGTTCAGTACCAAATAAGAAAGGTATCCTAGATGTGATTTGTCAGCTGTAGCTTATGGAAGGTTTTTTTTTTCCCCCTCTTCCATTAAAATTTAAAAGTGCAATAAGGAAAGATGGTACGCTTTAGATAGCGAAGAACAGATTATCTAATAGCAGGTCCATGCTTGCGATAGGAAGAAGGTCCACGTGCGACCCTTTAAAACAAATCCAGCTGGATAAAATAATTTCTTTGACTCTCTCTCTCTCCCCCTTCCAAGTTAGCCAAACATTAGAAGGGTGACTGTATCCTTTTTTTCCTTCTTCTTCTTCTTCAAGAAAATGAATCACTGGCAGTACTTTTTTTTTCTTTTGATAGATAATTTGCATGTAATCTGTTGATTTCAACCTCGCAATTCTGCATATAAATGAAGGAATCAAGAGTTGATACACTCAGATATCGTTGCACTTGTCTTTTTTTTCCCCATCTAATTGCTAATTTTGCTTTTCCTCCCTCCCAAACCCCTCAGGCTTGAAGATGCAGTGGACGCCAGAACATGCCCAGTGGCCAGAGCAGCACTTTGACATCACTTCAACCACCCGCTCTCCCGCCCACAAGGTAGAAGCTTACCGTGGCCATCTTCAGCGCACCTATCAGTATGCCTGGGCGAATGATGACATCTCTGCTCTCACAGCCTCAAATCTGCTAAAGAAATATGCAGAAAAGTATTCCGGCATTTTGGAAGGGCCAGCCGAACGTCCCATCCTGGGTAACTATGTGGAGCCTCCATCAGGGCTGGTGAATGGTCGCAAAAGCGAAAGTGAACCGTGGCAGCCTTCTTTGAACTCTGAGAGTGTTTATCCTATGAACTGTGTCCCAGATGTTATTACCGCCAGCAAAGCTGGAGTAAGTACTGCCCTCCCTCCGGCAGATGTCTCTGCCAGTATAGGGAGTTCACCTGGGGTGGCTAGCAACCTGACAGAACCTAGTTATTCAAGTAGTACGTGTGGAAGTCATACAGTCCCTAGTCTGCATTCAGGGCTCCCATCTCAGGAATATGCCGCAGGCTATAACGGATCGTACCTGCATACAAGTTACAGTGGCCAGCCAGCACCTGCACTTCCTTCACCTCATCCCTCTCCTTTGCATAGCTCTGGGCTTTTACAGCCACCCCCTCCGCCGCCGCCGCCACCAGCCCTAGTGCCAGGCTACAATGGGACATCTAACCTTTCCAGTTATAGCTACCCGCCAGCAAGTTATCCCCCTCAAAGTGCTGTTGGGCCTGGCTACAGCCCTGGTGGAGCACCACCTCCTTCAGCCTATCTGCCTTCAGGTATCCCTGCCCCAACTCCTCTCCCCCCCACCACAGTACCTGGGTACACCTACCAGAGTCATGGCTTAACGCCCATTGCACCGTCGGCCCTGACCAATAGCTCAGCAACTTCTCTCAAGAGAAAAGCTTTCTATATGGCAGGGCAAGGAGAAATGGACTCCAGCTATGGAAATTACAACTATGGCCAACAGAGATCTACACAAAGCCCCATGTACAGGATGCCTGACAACAGCATTTCCAATGCCAGCAGAGGGAATGGCTTTGACCGAAACGCTGAATCCTCCTCCTTGGCCTTTAAGCCAACCAAACAAATCATGGCTTCTGAGCAGCAAAGGAAATTTAACCAATCTGGTCGGGCTCTGACGCCCCCTTCCTATAGTTCTGCTAAAAATTCCCTTGGCTCCAGAGCAAGTGAGCCTTTTGGGAAGTATAGCTCTCCCGTCATGAATGAACACAGCGAAGAACATAGGCAGCTTCTTCCTCATCCAATGCAAGGCCCGGGACTTCGTGCAGCTACCTCATCCAACCACTCTGTGGACGAGCAACTGAAGAACACTGATGCACACCTCATGGACCTTGTGACCAATGAGATTATCAGCCAAGGACCACCAGTGGACTGGAATGACATTGCTGGACTAGATTTGGTGAAGGCTGTCATTAAAGAGGAGGTTTTGTGGCCAGTATTGAGGTCAGATGCATTTAACGGGCTGACTGCTCTACCTCGGAGCATCCTCTTATTTGGACCTCGGGGCACAGGCAAAACATTGCTGGGGAGATGTATAGCTACCCAACTAGGTGCCACATTTTTCAAACTCACAGGTTCGGTTCTTGCCACAAAATGGTTGGGAGAAGGAGAAAAAATTGTTCACGCTTCCTTCCTGGTGGCAAGATGCCGACAGCCCTCGGTGATTTTTGTTAGTGACATTGATATGCTCCTTTCATCCCAAGTGAGTGAAGAGCACAGTCCAGTCTGTCGGATGAGAACCGAGTTCCTTATGCAGCTGGATACCGTGCTCACTTCCGCTGAGGACCAAATAGTTGTCATCTGCGCCACCAGTAAACCGGAAGAAATAGACGAATCTCTTCGAAGGTACTTCATGAAACGACTTTTAATCCCACTTCCTGACAGCACAGCCAGGCACCAGATAATAGTACAGCTGCTTTCACAGCACAATTACTGCCTCAGTGATAAGGAGGTTGCACTGCTAGTCCAGCGTACAGAAGGCTTCTCTGGACTCGATGTGGCTCATTTGTGTCAGGAAGCCGTTGTGGGCCCTCTCCATGCCATGCCAGCCACAGACCTTTCGGCCCTTATGCCCAGTCAGTTGAGGCCTGTTACGTACCAAGACTTCGACAAGGCTTTTTGCAAAATACAGCCTAGCATCTCTCCAAAGGAGCTCGATACATACGTCGAATGGAACAAAATGTTTGGTTGCAGTCAGTGACAAGCCGTCTCTTTTTTTTAAAAAAAAAAAACAAAAACAAAAAATAGTGAAACAAAAAAAAAACAACAAAAAAATGTAATGAATGTTGGTGCGCGCACACACATATGTACACACAAACCTGTTATCTAGGGCACGGAACCCCTTTTTCAGTCGTGTTGAGATTGTGGAAGGGTACAGGGGGTGGGGGTGGGGAAATGATCATGTTGCATCTAAAGAGCCAGGTTTAGGCTTGAAGGAATAGTGCATCCGAGGAGAGCTGTTAATCCGTGAAGCCACAGATGATGATAGGATGTTGATGTTCCCTTCCATTCCATTCAGACTAGACAACACACTCTCACCGTGGAGGGGTTGATTTTTTTTTTACTTTTAAGAAGGACATGAACCCTGTGTGTTGATTCATTCTGCTGTTTTTGAGATTTAGTTGCTTTCAAGTGCCTCAAGTGGTGCTTTATTTTTTTTCCTTCCTTCCTTTCTTTTTTGTTTGCCTCACAATTACATTGGTGGCATGTGCTAATATAAAGAGCTTTAACTTCAAAATGTTATGGGACTAAAGACATGAACAGTTGTGTTGTGACAGAGAACCAGGTGTGACTTTGGTTAGTTTTGCTTTTTTTTTTCCCTCCTCCTATTTTGGCTAAGTCTAAAAGCAACAGTATTCCTCAATCCTGTCTGTTCTGTGGTATTAAACTAAGAACAGGTAAAACAGGGTAACGGTAATCTGGACTTTAATTTCCGCGGTTTGTTTTGTTTCTTGTTCTGTCTGCAAAAAAAGAAGAAAAAAAAAAGAAAAAAAACTCAGGAAAGTGATTGTGATTTGTACAGTACCTCAAAGGAATGTGTTGAAAGCACTATGTACTGCTGAGATTTAATAGGCTAGGCTTCAATGTTACTTTATCTTAAATATGTATGTTTACCTCAATGGTTGGGAAAAAAAATGGCAAGGAGAAATATTTTGAATGTATTAAGGAGCAAGCTGAAGCGTGCTAAAAAGATAATCTTTAAAACTTTGAAAATACAACAGGAGTATCCCAGTGTTTAAGAAACGTTTCTTTCTTTCTTTTTAACCAATATTGGGGATCAAATTGGAGCAAGGCAATTTTCATGGCAGTCGTGTGTGGAAGTCCTTAGTCCTTGACAATTTTGTGACAAGTCAGTAGAGAGCGCACAGACAATAAAAATAGCAAGTCCCCCTGTCGAATTATCGAATCATCTGGGATGGTCAGAGACGAAATCTGATTAGGACTCTGAGAGGCAAAATTACCTTAGACCACAAGGTACAACTTTTGTATCTCAGCTAGGGTTGTAGGCATCTTGATTGCCCCAATGCATCAGTAGCACAGAATCCTTGTAGGTTCCAGAGAGCTTAGGGGCTGCAGAGCTGTTTACAGCAATGCAGCAGAGAACGACAAAACAAAAACAAGACAAATTGAACCCTCAAATGGCATCTCTCTTCTTCTTTGCTTTGCATTTTCACCACCAAATGAAAAGTTATCCCTTTGTTTTATGTGTGCTGTTGTTGCCTCTTTCTGTTTTCTTGATGCCTTTGTTTGTTTTGTTTTTAATGTAATCGTTCCATGGTCATTAGAAATTCGCCCGGCTGGAAAATGCCCACCATTTTATTTCTACCTCAGATTTTGTTTTATTTCCCTTAGAGAGGCACATAAAGAGCAGGACAAACCAGATTACCACTAGCATGCAGAGCTGTTGAAGGTCCTATTAACACATAATCCTAAACAGGTTTTTTTGGAAAGAACCAGCTTTGTGTATGGTGAGGTTTTCTCACAAGTAAGTGTGTGTGTGGAGAATTGCAGTCAAAAAGAAAAGAGGATTGGGAAGGGAATCCTCCTGCCTCTTCTCCCTTTGCCCGACCAGGACAAATGGTGACTGTTTTCCTTCAGGAAAAAGAAGCTAGATAGGATGTGTGGCATTTTATTCTATTTGTGCCCCTGCTCCACATTGTCTCCCTTTTTTATTCTTTAATGCTTTTATGAGCAATTCTTTTCATGACAGCTGACTGATGCCGTAATGTCGCTGAACAGTAGAGCAATTCAAACCTTCGCAGCCACACGAGCAGAGAGCAAACCTCTCTCTCTCTCCCCCTCCCTCCCTTTCTCTTTCCCGCTCTGTTTTTTTTTTTCGTGTAATCTTTTGTTTACTTTAAAGAAACGGCAGCAGAACAATTAGAAATTATTGGCATTTAATGTTACTTTTAAGTAATGTATCTTCAAATCCATGAAATAAATGCACTGAAGAGCTCTAATGAGAAAAAGACCAATTAGTCACCTACTTGTTTTGTCTTTAAAGCTACTGCCCAATTATTACACTTGGCATTTCTTCAGCTAAAATGTTAATTTTCATTGCTAAAAACTGAGCAAATAAACCAAAATGCACATTCTATTTTGTTCATTCTAAACTTATGGATTGCTTCTAAAAGGCAGAGGAGTTCATTAAAAAGTAAAACAGTGCCTTTCACTAAGGATATAGTAAAATAAGTCTTAATAAATGCTTTGCATTTTCAATTAGCAAAGGTCTTTCTTTTTCTCCCATCTATTTCTTCCATTGTATCTTTTCCATTTGGGAAGAGCCACAATCGCCTTTGTCAGATTCATATTGATCTTGCAGATGGCTTTCTGATGCATATTGCTGACCAGTCTTCTGACTTTTAGATATCACATTATGCTATTGTGCTGCCGTCCATTTGAAAGGTTCAAACATGTTTTGAAAAACTAAATTTACAATTGCATCACCTCTGTCTATACATCCTTTAAAACTAACATTATCTAATTTCAAGGTGACACCAAATACATTCAGTTCATGTATATAGCTACAGTATAATCCCAGTAGCACTTCAGTTTATGTTGGCATTGGAATCGGCAGGTGCTCTATTTAACTCACATTTTACACTGTATATTAGAGGGGAAAGCAAATTATTCTTCCAATGAGGTCATAAATAAAAGACTTAATTGTGAGGTTAAGGAACTTCAAAGAATTTATCCTCTCCCAAATGCTTTGAATCTTACGTTGTGGATTCGCTGCTGAAAATATCAGGCCATTTTCTCCCAAATGGTAATTAGCTACAACTAGTGAGGTGTAATGTTTTACCTGACATGAAAATAATAGTTTTGTTTACTGTACTGCCCTTGTACAAAATTAAGGCAAGCTATAACCCACTCTCGGCTCTCTGCCAATGGAGATTCCCTGTTAAATAGAATCAGTCAGACTTTGCCTGGTTCACTCAGAACCTATTGGTTCAACCCTGAGCTACAAATACTACCCTTTTTTTTTTTTTTTTGGCCATTGGTTTTGTTTTGTTTTGGGGGATTTTTTGCACTTTTTAGACAAATAAGGCCATTTGTTCCTTCTGCTGCTACATTTAGGCCTGTATGGAATTGCGACCATACACATTTCATTGCGATCAAAAGGCCTTCTAAGAATTTTGTTTTCGGGTTATTTGGGTGTTCCACAAATGAGAAGATTTAGCTTTTGATAGGGAGTTTGATATGGCCAAAATATACTAACATTCTGAAGAAGTAAAATGGTTCTGCCATGTTTTTCATTTGATTTGGGACTCAGGATTCTGCCTGAGTAGAGCATAAAACAATGAGGTTGTATGGCCAGATTCCACATGATGCAGATCTTCTACATTTTTAATAAAAGGGAGAGTATTAATCGTTTTGCCTTTTCCACCATTACATCTTTATGATGGCTAAAATTCCATTAGCTCAATTCTCCTTTCACTGCAAAACATAATATTTCAAGGCATATAAATTGGCTTCATCGTTTGTTGGAAAATTCTAGGAATAATTGAAGATAAACAGATGCTTCCCTTTCTACTTGAGACAATTTTTCATTAGGTAAGACTTCATTCTCTCTCTCTCTCTCTCCCCCTCCCTCCCTCCCTCCCTCTCTCTCTCTCTCTCTCTCTCTCTCCTCCCCTCCTCACCCCACCCCACCCCCCATTTTCTTCTGTGGTGACAATTGTAATAACAACAACCAAAAAAAATTGCAAGGGATTGATTTCTGCCAACCAAATTAACTGAAATCATGGCACAATAACTTTTTCTATATATGGTATTTATAAAGAAATCCTCATTTCCAGCATGCTTCTATCCAAAATATTTAGGTCATTAAGGATAGTAGTGAAAAGTTTGCTGACTGAGCTGATCAATGGAATGTGAAGGCAGTTTGGGGCTATTTTTTTTTAACAAAATATTTCTGTATTAGTCAATTTGTATTCTATTCAAATGTAGATAGATGGGCAAAATGGTTTTCCTTGTGCATTTCAAACCCATCAAGGAGAAAATAAAACCTCCCAGTAAAACACATAGGCAAAGCACCATCTGGGAAAGCTAGCTCATCTGTCCAGGGGCTATGCTCTGCAAAATAGTATAAGGTCATTTTATATGGGTTAGCATAATACTTTGCTAGGCAATTTTCAAAAGGAGATAATCTAGTGTAAAAACCCCAATTAATTCCAACAGATGTTGGTAGATGGTAATGTGTTTACATGTCAAAAGCTGCAAATAAAGGTTTCTATTGCCTGAAAATGTCTGCAACTTTGAGTAGAGGAACCGTTATAAGATCCTTAATATGTTTCATTCTAATCTAAAAATATAAATCATCTTTTACAAAGTGAAATCTCAGAAATGCATGCTAGAATTGAGTAAATTTTGCAGAAATGAATCTGTGCAAGTCTATTTGTTTTCGTGGAACTGTCCCTGTATACCTAACCTCCCAAAGTTTAGGCTTTCTTCCTTAGGCAGGTCATGTGCACAAGTTCCATTGATGTGATCACCTAAGAGTCCCCTTTTATGGAGATTCTCAATCATCCAAGGTCATGGTTATATCTCAAAGGTTCTTTTTCAAAAGGCAACTTTTTTTCTTTTTCTTTTTTTTTTTAATTTTTAAACTTTTATTAATTTAGGAAACCACATAATACATTTATAAATGCAAGTAAAACAATTTACAATAAGCATCATCTTAATAACATCTACCTATAATATCTGAATTGTTACAATATCAATATCCTATATTCTTCAATATACAATATTTCTCTCACCTTATATAATGATATTATTTTATTGATATCTCGTGTCTCTTTCTTAAATTTCATTTGATGTAAAAATTTATTTTACTCTATTGATATCTTTTCTTTTATTTAATTTTTCTTTCTTTCTTCTTCTCTTTTTTTTTTTTTCACTTCCCTCCAACCATTTATACCATTTTTGCCAGACCAAATAATATTCAGATTCTTCCTTTCCTTGGATCTCCTTGGTAAGTTTATCCATCTTTTTTTCTTTTTCTTGAAGACATTTTGCTTCTCATCCAAGAAGCTCCATCAATTCCAGCAGGATAGTGGGAGGATGGAAGGATCCTTGCATTCCTCTCCTCTCGCCATCCTGCTAGAACTGATGATGAAGCTCTTTGGATGAGAAGCAAAACACCTACCAGGAAAAACGAAAGTCCAATTGCCCTTTGAAAAAGCACCTTTGAGACTAAGAGTTCCAAGGATATAACTGGGGATAGATGGCCATAAAGAACAACATGTGGTCTCCCACAGCTGTAACACCCTTTCATCTTGTTATGCATGCATGTGTTTATATAATCTTTATATGGACATACATACATAATACGAAGCCGTTTTTGTTCTCTCTTTCAAGGAAAAGATGAAAGCTTTCTTTTCCTTAATCATTTGCAGATTTATACTCAAAGCACATTGGTAAACACCGAGCTAGTAAGATTTCTAGACCCAAAGAAGCTGCTGCCCTGGGGACTAGTCAGTCCATGAACTGACCCTTCCCCTTTGCAAAGATCTTTGGTTGACATCCGATTTTGAACCTGCCAAATACGTTTTTTGTGAACCAGGGATACTGCATCTTTAATGAACAAGCTTCTATTCTTTCCCCTATTTTTCAAGGCAACACAAGAAGTGTAGCACCAGGCACCGCCATTGTCAAAGACAATTAGACTGAAAGCAGAAAAATTTCACCTCCCTGTCTCAGTGATACATAAAATGTTGGCAGTGTGGGTCAGCCTTGCAACCGAATTTTGTGAGAGTATATGAATCAGTCCTATAGAATGTTAAATATTTATAAAATGGTTCAGTTCTCCACTAAAGGTTGGGAATGTAGTCATTCCTTCTTGTTGTCTCACGATACACAAAGAGGAGATATTTCCCAGCCAAAACTTTGCTTGTGTACATCTTTCCTCGCCCCAAATGGTCCCTGTGGTTTACATGCAGTCCCAAGTAGTTTTCTTTGTCTCCATAGATTCCCACCACCACATTTGGGTGTGTGTTCAGACATTGTTCTTTGAAACCATTTCTACCTCATTACTACATATTGTACATGTAGTATTTATTTGTTGTCTTTTTTTGAATGTCATGCATTTTGTAAGAAAGACGTGTCCTTGAACTTGAACAGTCTACCTCAGAAAGACTGTCACTACACTGAATAGTATTAACCCACCAGGACGATAAGATGCATTAGCCGAGTGTGGCGGGGCAGATAATACACGGGGACTTGGCATACTGATGGACTTTTAATTGTACTCTTGTAACACAAGATTGCTTAAGGGAACTTAAAGGAAATCATGCACTGTGCAAATCTTGATCAGTGTCCCACTTTGGGGCTTGCTCTAGGAACATCCCTCTTTAGTAGGATGTACCCTGATTTGGGAGAAAGAAAACATAGTTAAACGCAAGAATTATTATTATTATTATTATTTTGCATTGGCAATCTGGCTACAATCTATTACTGTTAACTGACATGCGGTCCAACTTGGCTCTTAAAACTCAGAACAAATGATAGTACTTAAGGATTATTTTTTATCTTCAGTGATGTAAAAAGAAATGTGTCACACACTGTTAAGACTGTAAGTTTCTCACTTCCTGCGTACTAAAATGAAACACAATGCATTTTGTAAGAGTCTGTGCAAGGTTTAAACATAAACCAAAAATAAAAATAAAAAAAAGAGGCACTTCCCAAAGGACTTTTAAATATGGGCTTCAATCCTGCACACAATTGCACATGTCTGAAGTTCATTACCGTTTACCGACATGCGCAACCATGTGCACAGGACTGGATCCATAGAGTGAAGGTGCTCATGTGTTCTGTAATCAAATAGTTTTATTGTTGATTCTGCTTTATAAACATGTTTGTTTTTTGGAAGTAATTGTACACAGATGGCACATTTGAAGTACTTTGTATGAAGTATTTTATATTTTATTATTTATTTTTGCATCATTTCTCCCTCCCCTTTGTCTCCACTAGCTTTGCATTACAGTACTGTAGGAGAAGAATGCATTTCTCTCTCTCTCTCTGTCTCTATCATTTTCATTTTGCTTTCCTTTTGTAAGAAAGTACTGAATGGGTAAAATACCCCAAATCAATGCATGGACTTTTGTAGTTGCTTGTCAGCAAATTCTGGATTTTTTTACAAAAAGCAAATGAACTGTGACAATCCACAACATTCACAGAAGTTAATGCAGAAATGCATTTGAAATTTTTTTGGTATGCCTGACAATCTGTTCTTTAAGTTCCATTAATAAAGTAGCCTCAGATCTTTTATTTTGCAGTTCCTTGAAGACGTACCATTGCCTAGTGGAATGATTAAGAGGTAGGGGGAATTATTTCTGTTGGTTTTCTGTGTGGGATGCCATATTTCTCATCAAATAATACTCCTTGTCTGGGACAGTCCCCCTCCCCTTTCAGTTAAAGCCCAACTAAATTAAAATTTTGGTGCACTTTGCTTTCCTGGCCATATTGATTTTATTTGCTTAAATTGAAACAATGTGTTGGGTTTGACCAGATTTTGACCTCTCACAAGGAGAGAAAGACTTCTATAGTATATGTTTTTTTTTAATTCTTCTGGTACTGTTTTTGCTTCTCTATTCATCAAATTTGAAATCATTTTTGTTGTGCATTATTTTGCATCTTCTGAAACTAAATGTGATATTACTGCACTCATTTTTTTTAAAAAGTGAAATGATCCATTTCTCTTGGAGGGAAAAATGACAAGCTTTAGATGATGAAAGCTTAAATTATCCATCACTTGCAAACTGAATTCATATAATTTGTGAACATTATTAATGTAAATGAGACATTTCTGCTTGGAATTTTTTTTATTATTTTGATGGGATCATTATATGGTTGATCATATGTGTGTAGGAAGCTGCTGTACAATTAACCTGGAGATCTGAAAATGCTTTTTTGTCCTCATTGTTACAGTTTCAATTGTAATCCATGCATCTCATTTTCTTGGGTGTTAGCACTGTAATATTAAAAAAAAATCAGTGCTCAGTATTGTAACTAACTGTCCCTACTGAATATTCCTTTTCATAAATACTTGCTACCACAGGGAAATTAAGTTTTCATATAGAATAACTAGTTTCAGTAGTAATCATTGAAGAATTAAAATAAAAGTTGTGGTTCAAGGCAGATATTTTTATGAAAAGTTTTCTCTATTGTAAAATTTGTTGTATATGGCTATGCTACTATCATGGAATACGAAAAAGAACAAGCATACCTCAAATAAAAGAATTCTGAGTTAAAAAATATGCAGAGTTAAGGGGTTTTTTATTTACCTTCCCTATCTTTTATTTTCCAAGCTACCTTTTGAATCAGCCTACATTTTAAATCCATCTCAATGCAACTATTCAAAAGATTTTTTCCCCCAGTATTGTTAAGTGTTTTGCAAACCCGAATATTGTGAATGGCACAGAAAAGATAATAAACACCCTGATCCCTATTCCTTAGGGTTAAACTTATGATCTTTTTCTCTGCAGACACACAAAGGAATCTTCAGAGGATTCTGGAAAGCTTTTTTCAATTCAGCCTCTACAACTGCTGTCATGTAGAGCTTGTGTAATTCAACACAAGA